TTATTTTTTAGGGTTTTGCCATGAGCTCAAAAGTCGGGATTGATAAAGAGGAAACTTTTTATCTTGCCGCTTGTTGGACCGTGGTTCGAGTGTCACTTATCAGATCTGGAGAACTAATTCTCCAGATGAACAGAACTAATACCCGCAGTTTATCCTTTGAGAGAAGAACTACTATAAGTTTCGAGCTTTCGAAGCAAAATGATTCATAAACTCAATATGTCTCCCTTGATTATCAGGATTATAAATGCGGAGCAGCGTGGACGCGAAATAAATCCAACTCAACTTGCCAGACCTCTGCCAACGGAGACTGATGAAATTATATTTGAATACCTATATATCGCCAACTATCATGACTGACATCCAAAACCCATATACCTCTCTTTCCTAACTCACTTTCGCTGCTCAGCTGAAATACGTAGCAAATGCACTGGCCCCTTTAACAGCCTCCACGAAATGCTGCGCAAGGATCCGACCGGTTTGTTCAGAGGGATGCAACTCATCATACCACATGTACGAGTCAGGAGAGGGCTGGTCTTCGCAGTTTTGTCCCCTGTGATCGCAGTGTCTGATCCAGCCCTGGATGTCGGGGGGTTTCGTGCCGTTTAAGTAACGCCTCGGATTGAAGTACATGTCCGAAAGCTGGTTGGGAGATTAATTTTCCTTCCAACTTAAAGCTTTTTTTTTTTTTTTTTTTTTTTAACCAACCGACCCTTTTCACATGACGTTGTATAATGTTCCAAAGAAAACAGGCAAAGAGACAAAATTGACTTACTAACGAATGCGTATCAAAAAGGGCAATACCTGCCCCTCGATATCGATGCCACATAGAAATCTCGGCCTTTAATTTCATGATCTCATTCACAGCCACAACAGCCTGTCTCATCCGATAGGAAATTTCCGTAATATTCTCCGGCTTGTTCGGCCAAAACGGTGGCCGCCTCACTCCGCCCCTCTCCGGTAGGGCATATAGAGGCAACAAATCCAACGGGGCTAAGTTCATTAGCACGAAATACCGGCCTCCATGATCATATAGCCTATCAAGCGAGCGAAAGATGCATTCAACATAGTCTGGCAAGGTCGTCCCTGCAGCCTGCGAATCGGTCATGAACGCCCCGTTGCCTAGGTCGTTAGTCCCGATCCAAATGGCATAGACGGTTTCCCGCCGGGGGAGATTCAAGAATGGTATCCCCGTCGCTGGATCTTGGAAACTGGCGTCTGCGATGAACGCGGGGATCTCATACTGTTCAACAGAAGGGAACGTAGAGTTGATCGGTTCGAAAAATCGAGGTGTGATGTCATTGGAGCATACGGCGCCGGAGACGGCGTAGTTGTATAACTGTGCGCCAGTGTAACGGCTTGCGTAACGGGCCCAAACAGTTCCACCACTTGAGGTAAGTTTTGTCTGAAAGAAATAGTTATTTTATTGCTCAGACAAATGAAACAATCAAAACCAGCATTTTGCCCTTTTTGGGCTAGTTAGGGTATCACTGCTTGAAATGAAAGCAGCCTATACAGCCTCACACATAAAGATTACACCAATAAACATCTTTTGACTGGAAATGAAATAGAAATGAATGTCAAATACAATAAGAGAATCAAAGGAAAAACAACAGAAATATATATATATATATATATGCAGTTACCTCAGGAGCTATCCACCCAACAGGGGGACGTTCCTTATGTTCAATAAAGTATCTCAGCCTCGACTCATCCGTGTAGCTATCCCCAAACGTGACCAGAGACTCCATCGCCCGCAGATTCCATGCCGAATGTGCATGAACCGATAAAGCCCACGTACCCAAACCAAGCGCAAAAGCCAATCGGGACCCGGGCACCATCATGCACGTCGTTAACAGTGGGGAGACTAGATTGGCAACTGGAATGTTATTGTGCACAGTCCGATGGCATTCGAAGCAATCATCTAGGTGTAAAGGAACCGTGGAATTATTTTTGTGCTGCACCGGGTGGCGGGGACATTTATATCGGTGGCTCTCGCGGTCAGTGAGCGTAGCAGATTTAGCCGTCTCTGGGTTGGATATGTATGTAATTTTCGAATGGAGCAACAGCGATGAAAGCAGCAATCCAAGAGCTGAATGGAGATATTGTTTCCGGCATTTGTGGGTGGGTATATATAGTATCCATGATGCTTAATGCTTAATGCTCGCTGTCTATATTCATTTTAAGTGCGTAAAAGTGTCGAGGATGGCTTCTTTGTTTGGCATCATGGGTTATCCATGCCACGTTTCTTGCGTGGCCCGGATGGTATAATCAAATATATCGCATGAATTTCATGAAGCTGGTTGCGGGGAAGACTGAATGGTTGGATCCACACACCCTGAATTGGTGAAATTGGTAGCGAGCGTTAAAAGAATTCAGAATAGCTGCTGTGCAGGTTTTCGGGGATGTGGGCTAAAGTCAGTGTCAATGTGTTACCATAACCAGCCAAAACTTGGGCAATATCTGTTCTTGCACGGATAAGGAACTCAACTACTTCCTGTTTCTTTTAGAGATGAGAACATCAGGAGTTGGATGTTGAATAAAGAACTTGAAATCTAAGAACATCGCCCTGTTGCTCAAAAATATTAGGTGATTCTATTCAATTGATATCAAATCTTTGTCTTCTGGCTTGCGCTCTCAGCATTTTATCAAAGTAAAACTTAAAGAAAGGTTAGCAGGAACGTCACCCCTAGTGTAGCGTTTGCATGATCTTCTGTGCCGTTTTTCGCCGGATATGGCTCTTATTTGTCCTCGACCTGCCAAAGAACCCTTTCCTCAAACCTTGATAAGAACTCCCAATCTTCGAGCCAATCGCAAATTTGTCCGCCGCTGTCCGATCGAGGTTATTGTTTGTCGTCTGTTCCTCGGCGATACGATTGCTGTTGGATGACAGTCGGCCAAAAATACCTTTATCCAACGGCTTGGAGGGTTTCTCAAGAGAAGGCTTTGTCCGCGTCGCGGTTGCCGTCTGGATATAGTCATAATTTGCATCTGGGGAGTTTCCAAGTCGCTCAAACTGCACCCTGAGGAGGAATATGTATTGCTGTAGCTTGGTAATATATGTGCATGGTATCACGGAGTCTGGGTTGGTGTGGCCCGATATGCTTATATCCTGGCAGCTGGTGCAACATAGTGCGTAGCTATCGCCGGGGTTTCTAATTAATACTCGATTTAGATTCGCTGGAGTATCGCAGGTGTCGCAGTGCACGCAGGAGGTTTTGCAAGTTAGATGTTGGCGTCGTAGATACCTGCCCCAGCTCACGCATTCCGTTCTTATGGGGACATTACAGGCTAGACATAGTTCTGCATCATCCCTATTAAGCTCAGATTTGGAGAAGACCATCGCTGTTAATGGTAAATCTTCCGGAAACTGGTCTAAGGAATTCAGATATTCGTCAAATGTACCTGATGGATCATTATCGAGCGCATTTTCCCCCAGGATCTTGATGACCCTTTTGGTGAAATAAGATAGGCCAGAGCTTGCCGCATAAATTCCCTTGAGATGACTTGACATTGACCTTGTCCGCTGCTGGGACCTGGACAGAGACACAGTCATGAAATCGGTAAGCTTCGCCCTCAGCAGGTCGATTTCTGGGCTGTCGGATAGAGCTAATACAGTCAATCATCTTGAATAAAGAGCCCTTCAATAATGCACTTACGTGGTTTGCCGGCCTTTCGCCTAGAGTCATCAACAATGTCAATCGAGGAAAAGAGAACTCCAACAGCAGTAATCAAAGCTAATATGCCATCTGATATTTCCTCTCTGGAACCGGATTCGAGATACCCAAGGCTGTCGCTAATAAGCGACATAACCATCTGTTCAAACTTATTCAGAATTTTCTCCTCCTCACTAGTTGAAGGTTCGGTATCATGGTCATCTAGAAGAGGTAATTCCGCCAGTGACGAGTCAGGATTGTGACGTTTATGGGTCTTATAGCAACGGTCATGCCATACTCGCTTTTTTGGTGAATAATCCTTGATATATTGATCCATAACAGGCATCCCGCAGCTGGCACAAGGGTCCGCATATTTCGCTGAGTAGTCGTCCTTGCAATAAGCCTGACCTCTGTGGACGTAGTAGTTATCACCGGATCCAATGATCTTTTGACAGGAATGACAAGTGAAATGGTTCATGTGGTACTTTCGTCCGATCGCACTGATGTATAAATCTCGTAAGGCACCACCGCATTTACTGCATAGCATATCTAATCGGCGAAAGACATCGGTCTCGCAAAGAGCAACTGGTCCGTTTTTCTCATGCACCGGGAAGAATTCGTGGGATAAAACTTTTTGGCAGTCCTAGATGGCCCCGTTAAGTTAGATCACGCAATGGCTGGTTGGTAGTGTAGTAGTGTGAACCGGATATGGGAAACATACATGGCATGTAAAACATTGAGGATGATAAAGATCTCCAAAAGCAGAGACGAATTCGTTTGCTATATCCGTTCGACACTTTGCACAGATTTCCAAAGACCTTGACTTTGAATATGCTGAACTCTGACTTTTCGTTCTAGCAAGCAGCCTTTCTTTTGTATTCAACCCTTCTTTCCTGTCACAAACCCCTGGCGCAGTCACACAGCTATCTGGAGCAACACCGAGATCAGTATTGACAGTGACCGCTGGGTTCCGGCGCCGTTGACTTTGAGGAGAATAACAAAATCCATTTAAATTAGTTCCTGGGATGCAACTGTCTCGGGACAGAACGGAATTGCGATTACACCGGGTTACGGAGCTATGTGAACGTGTCCCTTCCTGAATTCCAGTCCGGCACGGTTCCATGCGGCGTAGGGGTGGCCGCCGCCTTTCAAAACTCGACGATAGGAGAAACATGGGCGGAAAACAGGAGCAGTTCAAAGGGCTGTCAATGTTAATGGCGATTTCCCGTTTCTTTCTGCCTACGGAACAGTAGGTTTAATTTCCATCGGGAAAAAGCTGGCGGGAAAAATTTCATCTCGTTTGCCAACATGCTGCCCGTCGGGTCCGTGTCTCTGGAAAAAAATCAATCAATTCCGGACAAGAACTATGAGTGGACCTGAAAGTCCGTACTCAGCCAGGCCAGTAATGAAAGGAGTCTGCGCCCGCAGACCCTTTCCATTAAAACTGGTGGTATTTTCTCCATTTTTGCGTGACAAAAAGGCTATTAATGCATCAGGGATTCAATTGTGGTGTTGATGGTCAAACCATATTTGGGCGAATAGGCCAATGACCAGCAGAAGGCATTCGTTCTTGTTGCGATTCCTTTGGTGATCGTGCTTTGGTTCCTCGTTCAGCCCGGGGCCTGTGCGACGATGCCGTTGAACTTGCACTAATTAGCGGCTGGGCATAAAAATGCAGGAGTGAACCGCGGCAGTGGGAACATGGTGGGAACATGGTGGGAGCAAAACATCTCGCTGCGCCAGATCATTAAATTGAATGCATAAGGAATGGATAAATATACGCTTGAAAAGCAGGTAGCGTAGCAGAGATGGTATAAGTATATGCTATAAAACAGGAGAAGGGGAAAAGCAACACAAGAACACCGTGTATCCAAATCCAGTCCAAATTCCACCCCAACAAAGACAGGAGGAATGGTTTATCAAAAAAAGATCTATCATTCAAGGCCCATGTGCGATCTCGGAACAAATAGCTAATTATCCAGTGTAGCGAAAAGAGGAAACCTTGCCATAGTCTACTGGCTTGCCCGTTGCATTAACCTAACGCCAAGAACAAAGAAGATGGGAGTCGCACGAAAAATAAAGGCTCTTGTAAGGAGAAACGAGACGATAGGACGGAGAAATTATTTGCATATCAACTATGCGATAATTACGATGTTGTTATATGGCACAGGAGAGAGGGGGCGCCGTTCGCGGTCAGGATGACATTAAGAAAAAAGAGTTAGGCGTAAGTGAGTGGTAAAATTTGTAGTCGTCGTATCCAGTATCCCAAAAGGAAAAACAAAGCAAGACCTATCGCGAGACGGAGCTCAGGGCTGCTGGTACCTCTACTGATTCTGCATTTCCTGTATGGATTGCTTCGTTGTACGATGGTTGATGTTGACGCTGCTGTTTCCTGTTTGCATCCTTCCCTCCAGTAGATGCCGCCCGTTTCGCCTTCTCAGCAGTTCCACGACTACTTGTCGAGGCGGCGGCGACGGCAGCAGCAGCGGGGGAAGAAGCAGAAGACGAAACGGCAGCCCCATAACGGAGCCGCTTCAACCTCTCCCCGCGTGTCTCACCTGCCACCCCCCTCCAGAGCGGATCAATCGAGTCAACTCGCCAATTAGCCCGATGAGTGATCGCCGGACCAACGCCCCTGAGCCCCAATGCTCCAATACCACGATCATGCAGCCCCGCTTCCCCCCACATCCGTACGCGCTGGACTTTCCGCAACTTCATGAGCCCGTAACCGCATACGAAGGCGGTAAAGATGAAACAGGCGCCTGAGACAGCTGCGAAGCCTAGTTCTGATTCTTCGATGAAGTTTTTCAGGTTCATGCCGTAGAGGGCTGAGCAGAGGGTGCCGGCCGCTAGTCCCAGTGTGCCGATGCTGAATTTGAGATCGAGGAGCATGAGGGAGTTGCGGTTGGCATCTAGAATGGCTTTTACACTGTGGGGGTGGTAGTAATGTTAATTCTTCCGTCCATTAGTAAGAGAGGGGAGGGGAAGTGTGTAAAAAAACGGAATGCAGCGCTGGGGTCATACATTTCCTCCGTGTTCCGAATATTCGTAACGAGATTCCCGCTAGCCTGAACAATTTCATCACAGACTTTATGGTAGGACTCTAGAAGCATTTCTATCTCCTGGTGGTCATGCTCCTGCCTGTGCATATCTTTCCGCTTTTCCGACAAGTACATGGCCGTCAAGTCGTCGTCAGCTTCCAGGAGGTCTTCAATGGCATCGCGCACCAGTCTAGCCTTCTGTTCAAACGTGCCCAGCCTCTTGGAATATATCAGAAGATGGCGAAGCTTGTCTCTGTCTATATCTTCCTCCAGCGCCCGAAGAACTCGCACGACAGGCTCTCTTACCCCTTCAAACTCCGCCTCAAGTCCGCTGGTAACACTGACTAGGACTGCTTCCAGAGCACGGAATTCGTATGGCAGGGAACCGGGTGCAGAGCGGCCCACCGCCTCTTTCTGACGTAGTTTACCTTCTAGATCATACATGAAGACCGACTGGGTATATGAATCCGTAGACCCATACGCATCAAATACCAGCACCCGGTCCGACTTGATGAGAACTCGCAGATGTAGAAGGCTTATCAAAATAGCCCTAGGACGAACGAGAATATGCGGAAGGACGGACGAGTCGATCTTGCGGAGATCTCGTGGAAGAAGCCCATACTACATAAACACAAACCACCAACAGCGACAAAGTTAGTTCAGACCAAAAACCAGCAAAAACCAACGGAAACACCAAAACGGAAAATCAGGGGGAAAAATAGAAAGAAAAGGCCATACCTTAGCAATCAGCTCACTCTTCTTAAACTCCCCATTAACAAGTGTAACATTCCCATTCTCATCTAGCTCTGTACATCTCAATCGCGGTTCATTCGTCGCTTTCATAGCCAACGACCGTCCCGTAGCAAACATACTCCCCTCAGGCCCATCATCCATAACAGTACCAAAGGGAAGATCATTCGCCCGCAGCTTCGGGTCGTGCTCAGACACCCGCAGACCGAGCAACCGGCGTATAAAATTCCCACTTCGGTTTCGCTTGCCCGTTGTACCGCTGAATGGGAGCAGATAGCCATTGTTAAGACTCTTTATGGTTGAATGCGGGGTGGTAGGGGTTGGCATGGGATGGTCATGGGCGAAGAGGGGATTGGTAGTGGTGGCAATCGATTTCCGAAGCCGGGGGATGAAGAAGGGGAACAGAGATGCTTCGAGGGTTGGGGTGCGGCACGATGGATATATATCATTTGCGTTAAGGGTCCATGACGAGAATGCCTGCGCTCTTTGCGATTGGAATCGCCAGGGGCATGGGGGGAGACTGCAATGCGCCACCCCTGCTACTGCTACTGAATAATTATGGAAATGCGGGAGGTTGGTGGAGAAGTAGTTGGCCGACTCCCACTGGGAGTGGAGATAACGGAGCAGATTGGCGGAAGGAGCTGATGGCTTGAGGGTTGATGGGGACACCATATCTCACCCTCATATGGGGGGTTAGACAGGAGTTTTGGAATTTTAAAACGAGAGATAGGAAAGCAAGAAAGATCTATGTTCTTTTACAACTTGGGTTGATGTTGATAAGCAAGTCTTTTTTTGCTCGAACGACGAAGTCATATTTTTTGTCGGAGGGCGGTGAAACATTTATCCGGATAACGACCTCACCCATACAATGACATCATATTGGAGGAAGCAACAGCGGACAACAATGATATGAAAGCCTTGTACGCTCGAACACTGTCTAATGTAACTTACCCACCTTCTAAAGAATCGATCTGGTCATTTGCTGTCAAAAAAGCCAAAAAAAAAAAAAAAAAAATTAAGAAAAAAAATAGGCAAAAAAGCCCATTGTTACTCCCCAATTTAACAATTATATAAATGGCCTCCCCAACCCGATTAACCTGAGACTATAAGACAGGAGAGACACACACAAAACGGATTACCAATATGCGCTGTAAGGAAGGAATGAGTTTTCTTTACCGCAGTGTATGGATGGCTAAACAACTGGATTAAAAAGACACAACATGACCACAATGAGCCAAGACCAAGAATCACCACTCATCGTCTGACTTCTCATCATCTGCAGCGCAGGTCGTTAGTCATAATAAACATCAACGAGATGAAAGAGAGTCAACGGATAAAACCTAATAATTAAAACTCGGTACATACCACTCCCACTAACTTTCTGTTTCCGCTTATTCAGTGCTGCCTGCAGAGACCCCAACATCGAATTCGGATCTGCTGCGCCAGTAGACGCTGGCGTCGAGGGAGTCTCGCTAGCCGTACCAGGCACCATAGCTGCGCTTCGGTCGCGTTTTTCCGTATCTTTGACCTTTCGTAGACCGGTACCTGCTCTAATTGATGCTAGTAGATCATCTTTCGCTGGAGATGGCTTTGGAAGGGCCGCTGCTATTGATGGCAGAGGAGCCCCACCACTGCCTGCTGCTGGTGGAGGAGGAGGAGGAGGAGGAGGAGGAACACCGCTAGCCGGATGCGGAGGGGGAGGAGGACCACTGGAAGGTTCAGAGAGTGGTGGGGGAGGGGAATGACTTGCGGATGATGCGGGAGGTGGAGGGGGAGGAGGGACAGAACCAGAAGGCGGAGGCGGAGGAGGCGGAGGAAGACCACTAGCTGGAGGAGGCGGAGGTGGAGGTGGAACAGCGGTGGAAGGCGCTGGGCCCGGTGGAGGCGGTGGAGGTGGTTGCGGAACAGGAGCTGATACGGGCGGTGGTGCTTGACGTGCTGGGGGTGGAGCGGGAGCCGGTGGCGGCTGTGGTATTGCAGATGGAGAAGCATGAGGACGCGGTGGGGGTGATGGCGGCGGTGCAGATACAGGTCCAGACGCACCATGCGGAACTTTGGGTGGTAACGTCGGTGGTAATCCTGGACTTACATCGCGGCGGGGTGGGAGAATAGGGCCACGTGTGGGCAGCTGAGGAGCTGACACTTTCCGATCTCCCAGAGTTCCATCTGCGGGTGTTTTGGGTGGCCGTGGTGGAGGCGGGGGACCTGGGTGGGCAAGATTGGTACCTGAAGCGGCTCTATTTCGTGCTGGAGGGGGTGGTACGGTGTGAGCAAATTTGCCTGCGTCCGCGAGGGGCGGGGGTGCTTTGAACCGCGGTTTAACAGGTGATGGTTCTCGCGCTGGGGGCGGTGGTGACTGTTCGCGCGTAGGGGAAGGTGAGGGAGGACGGCCACGTCGGGCAGGCGGAGGAGGGGGAGCAGCAGCCCTCCTTCCGGTATTTTGGGGACTGAGAGACGGGGCTTTTGATGGGGACGGGGCCGTGGTGGCTGGCGGAGGAGGAGGAGGAGGTGGTGGTGGTGGCGGGGCTTTTGCTCTCCTTTGAGGCTCGGGCGGAGACTCCGTCGACGCACCATCAAGCTCAGCGGCTTGTTTTTGCTCGATGTATGATTTAATGAAATCTGAATTCTCTGCGATTTGGTCCTCCGTGATGCCCATAGTAAGTAACTCGTCCAGCAAGCCCTTCCATGACGGATCTACGGTATCCAGGGGTGATGGCTGTTTTCGCAGTGAGGCGGCTGGGAGTTCTGTTCCCGCTGGAGCTTGGGCAGGGGCGAGAGCCGGTGCTGGAGCTGGAGCTGGAGCTGGATCCACGGGTTTGGGGGGAATAATGGATTCCGCAGGTGTGGTGGGGGCGGAAGAGGATCGATGGCCATGACCATGTAATAAATTACCCAGTCCGCCGAAAAGACCGTGATGAGATTTGCCATTTGCTGCTGGGGCAGGTCCCTGACCACGAAGTGACCCAAACGAGGTAGCCTTGGTCTCTTTACTCGCGCTCTTTTCCCGTTCCAAAACCTTTTTCATGAACGTCTTTGCCTCCTTTTCATCCGCGAACGATAGACCCGCAAGACATTCCTCGAGTTCAAAGGTATGGAAAAAGGTCCTGTCCTGGTTATACGAAAAGCCATCATAGATTTCCTGGTCCCATAGAACTCCTCTGCCAGCAGGCTGTGTAGTAGAAAATTCAAGTTAGTTGCTTGTGGTAAACTTAAGAGCGGGATATACGGCCGAAGCTCTCATATATGTGTAGTTGCATACCGACACGTCAACAAGCTTAATCCAAAACGTATGACCAACAAGATCGTTGGCGAGTACCGCAGCTCCCTGCAGGCCGGTATATGTCCATTTCTGCGGATTCGGATATGCTACGTATAGCCGCGCAACAGCAACAGCAAGGATCTTGTTGGCTGGCTTGGGAACTGTTCGCCGGACTGTTTCTTTATCGGCATCAGAGAGGATGGATGGCATGATGGAGACGCCGGATTATTAGGTAACGGGTTATTTGCAGACGGGTATATAGAATAGTCTCATCTGTGTTGTTCAACAGCTGGAGGATTCATTGCTGATCGCATTTATATCCCTTTCGAAGAGAGTCGCCTGTTCGTGATCGTGTGATTGGTTGCAGGAGTGGTTCTCCAGCAACAGCACACAGGATTTGGAGAAGTAAAAGGGAGTATCTACCGGGATGAGCACTGTCTACAGAGAACGAAGGGGGTAATTATTAGAGGGGAGGGGAGTAGTGTGTAGGCGGCAACAGTTTGTGAGTCTTTGAGAGGTTGACGGTTCCAGTGTGGCTTTTGCAGTTGTTCACTTGAGAAGTTGGGAAGGAGGCTTAGTAAGGCTCTGGAAGTCCAGTGCCAAGACATGGAAACCACCGGGGAGACCAACAAGCGGCATTCTTTCATCAAAAGGGACAACACTCTTCATGAATAGCAAAAGCAATTAGAGGATGGATGGATGGATGATACTGCTTATTGCCACTGAGTGTATCCCATTGCTATTTATGAAATGGCCATATCTGGTATAAACTAATAACAATTTAACATAAGTAGCCAGTGACAAATCAAATCCCTTGCTTAATGCACTTGAGAGCAATGTCTCAGGTAATCAGAAGAAAAAACCATAAATATAAAGAATTACAGCCTAAACGGTACATCACTGCATATATATGAGTTTGTCATCTCAAAACTGACAGCCATGTTTGCATGCCCCTCTTCTTGGTTCAAATCCCTGCTTATGATGGAAGTTGCCCTGTGATGTCACCGCAAACGCATGGATTATGTATTTGCATAAATACGTAACATGAAGAACCGCAATTATGCTGCCTGCCACAATCCTCAACCCATCTAATATCCCCACTATCCCCATATCTACTTGTCTACATTCCTACTAAAAATAAAAATATATAATTACTTGGGCCAAGTCTTCCGAACTATTGGCCTGATAACTTCAAATTTCACATTTATATAACTTGTTCAATCAATCGAAGCCATGCCCAACCAATCCAACCAAGACCCTTATGCCGCAATGGCCGATACCACTACGCGCCAGACGCGAAGTCAGACACAGAAGAACAGGCTGCAGAATAACCCCGATTCTGCTGCTGCAGACAAGCCCAAACCTTCCGTTAACGACTTTATAGCTAAGGGGCCGCAGATTCCAGAGGGTGGGTATAATCTACCCTCTAATACCCAACTTCTTTGACAAATATTCCCCCCAACTGCACCTTTAGGTCGTTGCCTAGGCTGACCATTGGAATAATTTATTTAATAGACCTGCCACCCAAGGTGTCTAGGGAGGAGATCGATGCTCAGATGAAGGAACTTAATAATAAGTGATGTTCTGTTGTTTGCAGATGGGGGTAGCCAGCCCTTTTGGAAGTGCTCGAAACGTGTCATGATTGGCGTGGATAGGGAGGCAATTGTGGATTCTGTATTGTTTGCACTTCCTGATGGTGAGGGAGGAGTGTACGGGAATCACTTTGTCGCCCTAATTGTTCAGGTTAATCTGGAATACCCAGAAATTATCGATTAGCAATCAGACTGTTTCAAATGATACTCCCATCGGGCTACAATTATTTACCTGCATAATGCATAGATATGAACCCAGCAACGCAATACACATCCGGACTTTTCATGATGATATATCGGCTTAAGACCTATATATAAAACCGCTCAATGCTGTGCCTCATCACTTTGCTGAACGCCCCATGAGGAAACCATTCCACCGGGAATGCTGCATTCCCCCTTTCACCGTAGCCTGATGAGATATTGTTCAATGCTCTCAACAACACGCTCCGACTGCCTCACGAGATCCGTATATTTAGCCCCCTTAACAGCCAGCCGAACATGCAGCTCCAACGACCCCTTCAACACCTCCAATTGCGACTGCGGAACCCCATCCTTCCGCTCGATATCAGGTATCCTCCGTCCACAGTTATCGTACCCATGCGCTCTCAACGCATCTCGAAAAGCAGTCCGCACCCGCCTCGTGCACCACGAACGTATAACGCTCTTCTCAGACGAGACCTCCCCATGAGCAGAGGCGGACCACCACAAATCACCTTTTTCCCGCATCGCCCACAAGTGCTGAACCTTGGTGCGGAACGCGAAGAGATGCATGCGCGTATCGACGGAGAAGCGCTTCGCACGAATTGTTGGCTTGTTTTGCGGGGAGAAGTGGACGACGAAGTAGGGTTGTTGGGGTCCTTGATATTTGTGTGTTTTGGGGGTTTTGGAGAACATCGCTGGCTTATATTGGGGGCGACCCATTTTTGCAAATATATATATATGCCTGTCGCAAGAACGGACAGGCTGTTGTATGCATGCACAATAGAATGCGATAGACGCTTCAGTTGGGAGGCCGACATGGTAGGGGGTACAGGTGTGGCTCAACAAATTTGCTGGCGTTGAAGGTACCCGGTGGATGACTGCTGCCTCTTTGGGGATAGCGGGGCTTGCTGCTTCAAAAACTCTCACTAACTACCGGTAACCAGCAAGTGGCGACTTAGAAACACCCCACCAACCAACTAATAGTAGAAAAGACAACTCGAAATTTAAATCCACACGCTGGACAACGCAGAACTTTTCGACCACCAACCAACTACCAACTACCCACGCTGGCTGAAACCAGGGTACAGCATCGCTTGATACATATCCCCACAGATCAGCAGACCTGAGAATCTAGACGCACTGAAATCAGAGAGAGTTCCTAGAACGCTTCAACATGCCGAAGAATAAGGGAAAGGTATGACATGATAGTAACCCTCCTTCTTGAACAAACCCCACACGCTGCTGTTCATCGCTTGTGTGTCAAGTTTGCCGGATGTCTTCAATTCCCAAGGAAAATGAGAGCTGGAGGTGGAAGATATTATGACATATTTTCCCTATGAACTACGTTTCCACGATATGCGGAGTTACCCATATACACTAACACATCCGTTCTCCCGGATATTATATAGGGTGGTAAAAATCGACGTCGAGGGAAGAACGAAAATGACAACGAGAAGCGGGAACTGACCTTCAAGGAGGAAGGCCAAGAATATGCCCAGGTTGTCAAAATGTTGGGCAACGGACGACTCGAAGCTCTCTGTTTTGACGGCGAGAAGCGCCTCGCACATATCCGTGGCAAATTGCGCAAGAAGGTCTGGATTAACCAGGGAGATATTATCTTGCTATCTCTGCGCGACTACCAGGACGAAAAGGGCGATGTCATTCTCAAGTACAATGCCGATGAGGCAAGAAGTCTGAAGGCTTACGGCGAGTTGCCTGAGAGCGCTAAGATTAACGAGACTGATACGTACGTTTTTGGCCCCCCCCCCCCCCCAAATCCTTTGCTGAACTGCTTTTTGCTCTCCGTTTTGTTTTGGATACTCCGTGGTGTTATTATGCTTTTTGGTTTGGTGTGTGTAATCCATTCACTAACGTTTTAACCAACTACAGCTATGGCCATGAGGATATTGACGACAACGTCGAGTTCGACGAAGACAGAGATGGCAGCGAAGAGGACAAGGACATCGATGTTGATGACATCTGATCAACCAAAAATATTTTCTCTCCGATATAGCGAGGCCGCTCCTCTCGCTGTGTACGTGCCCGGCTTCAACTGTAGGGGGATTTTCAACAGCCCGAAGATGGACGATTCAATCATTAGGTGTTACATATCGTTGCAGAAAAGTCCTGGTGAAACTGGTGCTTGCGTGAAACTGAGGGCGTAAAGTTCCAACACCCCTCTCCTTCTCCTGTTATCTCCAAGGGAATATAAATCAAACTCTTCGGCTGGGAAAACTTCCACGTCGCATATTGCTATCGACAAGACTTATCGAGATCCATATACGCCTAATGCGGGGTTCGAACTGGTTCGCGGGATGGACATGAGGCTGACAAACTTGGCATATATTCTTATATTTGCCACTGATCCGGTCTAGTTTTAACCTCCCCCCGGATTCATGTTTTTGGTGTCCTTCGCTTGTTTGTTGTTCTTTTTAACGCGGTTTACGACTGTACGGTGCTTTCTATTGTCTTTCCTACTTCATCTTTATGTTAACTCTCGGCGACGAGAAACCTCCCATACATTTTATACTCATACTCTGATATTATTATTTTCGTTTCAGTTTGCCTCTTTAAGTTCACTTTCTTATTTCCTCCCACCTTTAGCCGTAGCGTTAGATTTACTTTTGCTTGTCTGCGATCTTGCATCTGTCCTTTCTTTGCTTGCATCATCTCACGCTTTTTGTCAATTTCAAGTTAGGTTCTTGGGTGCATAGATAACCGCAAGCAAATTAAAAGTAATTATAACAAGTTTTGCGTTAGGTAATTAAGTAATTTCTATATTCCTATCCTTGTGGTTTCTCCGTATGATGGGGGATATAGGTAGCTATTAAAACCATCAGCTAATCCCAAATTTGAACAATCCAAAACGTGCAAAATGTTGGTTGTGGAGCGAGTCCCGCAAACTCCCAATCCGAGCCTTTATATCATATACATATACAATCACAGCCATCAAACCGTCACCAAGTCTTCCAACTATATACAGCGTCCAATCGCATAGCATAGACCGGCTCCCGCTTATTTAATCAGCCCTTTCCTCATCGAAAACATTCCTCCGAAAAAACCTCAAAATCTGCCTCCCAACCTCCTTCCCAACCAATGGCTCCAACTCCTCCATCTCCATATTCGCAATCTGCTGTAAATTATCCGTCTCTAGAACCAACCGCTCCGCTATCTTTGGCGTCACCCCTGGAACCGCCCGTAACATGTCATGCGGCAGCTGGTTGAAGGTTCGATGCTCAACCCCTGCAGCTGACATGATTTTGTCGGCGCCTGCGGTAGATGTGATTTCAAAGTCTAGACCTATCTGCACGGCGCGGATGGGATCTGGCTCCGGGTTGTTCTTTTTTAGCTCTGCGAATATCTCGGCGGTTTGATAGGGGGAGGAGGACCAGATGATTTTCAGACGTGGGAAGGATAGAGTTAGCAGGGTGAGCAGGAGTTGGATGGATTTGGGGTTTGTTGGGTTTATAAGGTTGGTAGAGAAGCTCTCTGAGCCTGGTGTGTTCGTAGCAGATGTGAACGCGTCGAAGGTGAAGGATTTATTCTGGTCGAATTCAATTAGCAGGACGGGGTTTTTGTAATGTTGTAACATCGTCTCTGCTTGGTTGTACAATCGCCCGTTTTTAAGGGAAGAATGTAAATCTCGTATCGATTTTCGCTCAACGCATATGTCTGGGGTAAGGATGTAGTCCCCCACTGTTAGTTGGCACGGGACCACGACCATGCTGCGCCCGTGTAGGAGCGATGGGAGAGCGCTGCGGAATTCACGCACGTCTACGACGACGGTGGGTGGTGCGGCTGTTGCAGCCAATCGGCCTCCGCCTGCAATGCGGGTGTTCACCGTTCGAAGGAATTGTTCTTGGGGATCTTCAGCGCTTTTATCGTGGGTGATCGTAAGGGCCATGGACTATGAGATAATGAGGGGTTAGATTTTCTTTTTCTTTATCATTTAACACATTGTTGAGGAGAAGGTGGAAGAGATAATGAGATTACATACCCCCTTTTCCTTGATTAGTTTAGTGAATGCGTCTTTTTCCCTCCGAACAGCACTAAGATATCGCTGTTCTTCGACTGAGCCGCTGTAGTACAAAAAGAAAACCCTGACTTCCCGGTTTGTGTGAGAACTCCGATAGACCTCTACTCTGCGGATAAATGCAGCGTCTGGCTCGTACATAATGATGTACCGTGGTTTGGCTTCTTCGAGCACATGGTCATCCATATCTCCATCATATGGACATATCATTAAAAGATCATTCATGTCATAAAGACCATAGTAATCTTCCATGTCAGACAGATCATCGACCACCAGTTCAGACTCAATAGCTCCATCTTCTGGTTCCTCTAGCTGAATTTCTTCCAATAATGTCGATACCTGCGTTGGAACCTCCGTATCTGGTTGCACGCTGCTGCTTGCACCTCTTGCTGGTGTGATCCCCGAGGCACCACCGCGAAGACGTCTTCTCTTATTTGGGGGTGCCCTTCCGTGATAATTCGTTGAGGAGCTCAGTGAATTGTACCCTGCAACTGTGCCTGGCTCTTGCCTTGACTTCGTAGTGAAGAGATTGCTGTTAACTCTGGTAGAGTTACGTTTCCAATTTAGATAATGTATGAGATTCCTACGAAGCATAAACTCCCCAGAAGGGCTGTCGTCTGACTCAATTTCAGTCTCAGTGGCATCTTTAGATGATTTGACTTTAATACGCATTGTCTCAAGATATTCTCTAATTTGGCGACATGTTTTGCCGTCACTGCACATGATCAAAATAGTCCCATTGGAGTCTCCTGGGGGGACAGGATTAAGGTAAGTGCTGCGCTCGATTTCATCTAGCACGTCCGCCAGAACCGACCATTTCGGTTGCTCCTCTAGTACTGGCTCTAGAGATGGTGGCAAAGAAGATGTGTCGGACAATTGCTCGCAGGGGTCATTCTTCCCGCGATAAACTCTTGACTTGGCAGTTTGAAATATAACATGAGCTGCATCAAGAAATAACCAGGGGGAGTAATTCTGCTTATTTGATCCGGGAGGTGGCGAGTGTGCAGCTATTATGATGTCGAGGTATTTATTGAAAGAGACAGAATCGTATGTTAGTAATGACCTGCGGAGGTTAGCTCAGATCCTCAGCTCCATTCCGTATGTAAAGACTCACAGAAGTATCGATCGAAGGACGGTTAAGTCACTAGCTATTTGCTTTGTCCTAAAGCTAACTCGGTGCCACACGGGATCCAATTGGCGTCGAATAGCGACATCAAAATTTTGATGCAATGCGCTGTCCACTGTCCAGTCCTCGATGTCCAGTCCAGAATTTGCCTTTTTAAGCTCTCGAATATTGGCTTCAACACATTCTAGAACGGCGTTTTGGATATCTCTCATTTTATCTGTCATGGGGACTTCTAGCTCGATGACCTCTGCTTTCTTACGACCTTCTAGGGATTCTGCTACTGTAACCTGGAATCTCGGCCAAAGGGAGGGTTTCCGAAGAAATAGATTCCGCATCATATTGGCTAAAGGATTGAAACCAATAGTGAAAGGTTCGGGAGAGTCCGAGAACGCTTTAAGAAAGCCAACTTTATTGAACTGCCGATATATTCGGATAATAAATGCCTCTTGGGATGTAGCCACAATTCTAAAAACGGCTTAACATGTAAAAGTAAATAGACATTCAGGAAAGGCCTTACTTTTCAGCATGGAGAACAATTAGCCCGGTAATACTCTCAGGGTCCAGAAGTTCTATATTTTCGTTAGCATGCTCTGCTAAGCCTGTACAGGAAGGGAACTCAACTTGACAGCAGATCGACAACTAATATCCGAGATGTCACACTCAGGATACCCCCTTGGGTGTACATTGTTTGCCTTGAAAATGTTTCATTAGAAAATGAAATGCAATATCCCCCGAAGTAGAAGGCCATACCTCATGGGAACGGTGGCCTGATCAGTATTGATTACTCTAAGGCCACGAGCTAAGGGAGTTCTGCTCACGGCATAATGCTCGGCCAGCGCTGCTTGAAGTATTAGTATGCATGTAAAGATTTTTCCACTTGCAGCACTTCGGGAACATACCTTCTCCAATCCACTCATTTTCCCGACGTTCAGCGCCAACCACGATGACTAAGTTGTTGCCGGTAGCATCATAAGAGTGTAGGAGATTCGTTACAATACGTAACAGGCCAAGTCCTCTTGCGAGAATGACCAGCTCATCTTCAGACCTGAGCTCTGAGAATAAGTCCTGCTGATATTGCTAGATAAACATTTGTTAGATGTTGATCATTCGTGCCCGCACAGATTTCCCGATACTTACCAGCGGCAACGATAGCTTCACTACCGGGTTTTCTTCAGACATGAGGACGGGCTCTGCGGGTTGGATGAATCGCAATCCCGCTGCTACTGTTACTGAATATCACGACCTCGGGGCATAGACATTGGGCCACGTGATCAGTGACAGACGTAGTGGAGATGCGGAGAAGCTGAGGAATTATCATTATAGGACTAGATGATGTGGGAGCCGCCAATGAAATCGACAGCCTGCGTGGCAGACGGGAGTATCCACCGTGAATGTTGCTTTGCCACCAGAAAGGTTGACCGTCTCCAACGGGTGAGGTTTGATATTGCCTAAAATAGACAGAATCAACGCTGTTCTGAGATTACCAACGCAATCACTAAAGCAGCGACCATTATGTCTGCTTTGGGGAAGTTGGAACTGCCTTCAGACTCCGCCAAGCCTCAAACCCGTTATCAGCTCGATCTGGCCAGCTCCTCTTTTTCGTCGTCATCAAAAAGATAGGGAGCTCCCTTCTTTTATGTCGCAACAATCAGAACTGCCCTAATGCTGTTCGCACTGTAGCACCAAGTTTTCTTTCCTTGTCTATCCCTATCCGCCCACCATGCTGGTTTCTCTCACTGTTGGGAAGGTTGACGCTGGCGTTGCTGTCCTCTTGACACAAGATAATCGACTTGTAAGCTTGATCCTCACCCGGACCGCTTTTCTATGGCTATTTACCACAGCTGTGCTATGTTTATTATGAATTGATTGAGATCTTTTAATGCTTAGGATCTGACTCCTGTTTATATTTTGTCTATATGTTGTTGCGCCGTGATCATTTACTTACCACAACTGCTGTAGATTGAATTTCCGTCCGTCCTCCTGCCAAAGAATATATCGTCTGGCAGCATCGTTGATATTACCGTATCGCGGAACCAAGCCGCTGAAGCCGCCAGTGTTGCCTCTTTCCAGTCTCTCCAAAAGCGGATTCTACACACCTATGGCATCCATACTCCCTCTCCGCCAGTACTGCGCCTAAGAAATGCGACGCAAACATCCCTCGTCCTTGAATGGGACCCCATCAACTTGGCCACCGCGTCCCTTAAGTCACTATCGCTATATCGCAATGATTCCAGGGCAGGCTCCATTCCCAGGCCAAAGGAGATGCTTAGTACCAAGATTAGCGGTCTTGCAATTGACACAGAATACACTTTTCACCTTGTACTCCGTACCTCTGCCGGTACTTTCAGTTCAGAAAAATTAGTTTGTCGCACACACAAGATGACCGACTTGTCCGGAATCACCATTACACCAGGTGTTTTACCGCCGAATCTAAGGACTTCGCTTGGGGAGGCCGTAAATCGAATTGGTGCCAAACTCATCGACACAGTGCGAATTGATACAACACACTTTGTTTGTACGGAAGGCAGAGGTCCTGCCTGGGAAAAAGCTGTTGAGATGAATATTCCTGTTGTCCGGCCAGAGTGGGTAGAGGGATGCGAGCGCGAAGGTACTATCGTCAGTGTACGCGGTTACTACTTGAATGCAGATCCAAAGTTGAGGCAGATAGGCCCAAGTGTTGGTGGTCAACAAAATCGCAAAAACTCCGTATTGAATAATGCCTCTGGATCCGGTTCCCTTGGAAAAGCAGACCGAACGAATCCAACATCCCCTTCGCCAGACCAATCGGCTGAGAAGGATCTCCCGGTAACACCCTTCCCTGGTGGTCCAGTAAACGGACCGTCAGGCAGCGATAAATCTGATGGTGGGGATAAGAATGATAGAGAATCCCAGTCTGCACCATCCCCTCCCCCTAAAGACGAAAAGGAGAACTCGAGGCCAAGTGGAGATGACGCAGCATCAGTTGATCGTGAAAACTATGTACTTGCTGGAGGTGGTGAGCCGGAGGCAGCTGATGAGAATAACTCAGCAGTTTCTTCAGATGGTGACGTAGCAAACAGGACAAACTCTCAATCGCCAGGAAAGCAGAGGAGTCTAGAGACCCGGTCTCCGGGTTCAAATTATCAAAACTCGAACGGCACGGGTGGTGAAGGAGAGCTAGATGAGGTTCCACTTTGAGGTTTCAGAGAAGACAGAATACAGTGTAGTCATTAGTTTTGTTTGTTAATTTTTCTCTGAACTAAAATTTTCTCCTCTAAGACATGGGTTGCACGTATGCATTTATTCCATATCCTTTTAAATTCTTCTTGCTAACATTCTTACATCATCTGCTTTTGCAGTATACTACATTTATCATACTGATATTTTTTTTTTTTTTCCTTTTTCTAATTTTATTTTCGCTTTTTATCTCTATTATAAGGTTATCTCTTTATTTTCTGTATTCCTGATGATCTAATTCTTTTAATAATCCCGAAAATAAGCCCGCACGTCATTTTTCCAGTCGTTCACTTACGATTCTTATCTGTTTCTACTCTTAGTTCCACGTTAAGCCCTCCTTTCACCAGCATATTATCAAATCCATTCCCTGTCATTACCATTATCTATTTCTCAAGGTTATTCGTATGGCCGTGAGGTTCTTCAAAGGATACTAAAGGTGAAACACTTATCTCATATTTAGCTGGTTCACGGATTCACACATAGAATGCGTTCGTGTGCTAGAATTTTGATCGTCGTCTTATTGGCAAAGCGTTTGGTGCTTAACAAACTAGTTACTTGGTTAACCGCGCGGCTTCAGCCGCGCATGACATCATAATATTTTCTTTAACGTTGGAGGAATTTAATAATATAATGGACACAAATTATAACACTTTCAAGGGCATCACCCCCGGTAGCATGCCTCAATAAGGTCGAGGACCTTGGCAAATATTCAAAGAACTTTTATTGAGATAGAAGGTCCACCCAATACCACCCTTTTCATTGGCTAATCTGAAGCACATCGAATTCCCGATACCTAAGCCTCTAGCTGAGGAAAGGTATATGGGGACTTCATTCGTCGTAAAAGCCGTGCGTTCCAATTGCTTTGGTAAATATATATACGTTCTCGTGGTCTCTTTTTATTACCCAGTCTCTGGGTTGCCCCCGCGTCGAAATTGGAATCTTCATATCTCCTCACCGCAGAATATTGGGTGAGCATCTACTCATCGATATAACACAAGATAAGCTCGGTATACCCGGTTTATATATATCTTTATGCGCCGCTGCACCGCTATTCGAAATCTTCTGGGAGTGTTGTGAAGCTCCCTCTCTGGCTTAGGCTTTCTATCCTTCCAAGCAAGAGCTCCATGGTTCTATATGCGAACCCAGGGGAATACTGGGGAATCTCTGTCAGGGATTTTATTAGCCAATATCCATTTCACGTCAAAAATTTGTGTTAGCTTATGGCTTACTGTGCCCTGACAAATCGACAGTGACCCAAGTAAGTCCTCTCTCTGTGTGAACGGTTCCGAGCTGTCCCGCCCCAGCAACTTGGGTGAAAGGACCGGTAACATTGCGGGACGCAATCTCACCAAGTCCGGGATGGTAAGGCACAAATAATTTCTCAGACGGTGCTTTCTGAAACCCTTGTGCTCCATTCCAGGTCATGTTCTGGATGGTGATTAAGGTCCCGTTTAGAAAGAGAAGAAAGTCGAGGGCTCCATGCGCGATTATGGTGTTATTGGTTTTCTCGATAACATTTGGCAAGGGACCCAAACCGCTAGGAGGCGATTTGTCACCTTCAGGGAAAAACTTATATTGCATGTTGCAAAGCATATAGTCCGTTGGTGGGGTGTGAAGGACTTTTTGGACATCTGTTCGGTTAAAGTAGTTGCTTGGTCCAACTGTGAGAGGAAACCGCATTACGTTCCAAAGTAACGGGCAGAATTCTCTCAAGTTGTATATGTTGAAGCACGGATTGACGTAGGTCGCTGCGGTGACGATATGCTCCCATAAATTGCACTCACCATTGCTTTTTGGCGCTGAGGGTAATTTACCCGTTGGTGGGAATTGCAATGCCATATTCATGAATTTGGCGTAGCCGCAAGACTCATACCGTCTGTTAACGTCAGCCAAAGTGGACTCGTTTAGCTGGATAACCGACTGGTAATAATTAAGTGCGGGGACAGATGGGGCTACGATGGTCGGTCAGCATTGAAAAATCTCTTTTGAGATTCACCGGTATGTGTGGCATAACTAACCCGTTATCATCGTATCGTCTTCATTGATTACTGGGTTCATTATCCAGATCCCTTGTAAATCGAAATAACGGTTATCTCTTTTTTCTAACATCTTGTTTGCGATATACGGAATGTACATGCCAGCATATGACTCGCCCGTGAGAAAGACTCTACGTCCCATGAGGTCGAATCTTTCCATAAACCTCTTCCAAAAATCATTGAATTGGTTGGCAACATCGATTTCGTCTTCTACTGTGGGCGGGCCAGGAGAAAAGCCTGTGCCGGCAGGCTGATCGATCCAGACCATATTTGTGAGATTCGTCCAGGAATATAGGTTTATGACAGGCTTATAAGTCCCTGGCTGCCACAGAAAGGGGCCATTCTCTTGAAGAAGCCCCAGCAAAGACGAACATCCCGGGCCGCCGTTGAGGAAGACCGTGATTTCCTCAGATGCTGCTGGATTTTCGGACGGGAAAAACCAAAACCAAAGAGAGGAGTTTCCAGAGGGACTGTTTGGAAGGGTGCCGGCATAGCTTTCGCCTATATCGAAGTCGACTTCTGGCAGGTCCCTGCCCCGGACAAGAAATTCTATATTTTCAGATCAGCCGCTCTGCTCTGAACAACGACCTCTCCGTCTTTTAAGTATACCTTCAGTTTTAGGATTGAGATGTTTGAATGGCTTATCACCGCCATAATTTCCAGGGTGCAAGAGAGAATCTCGATTCTCCAGGTAACGCGATCTTTGGTCAACAAATCTCCTGGCTCGATCATGAGGATTGGAAAGAGCAGCTACTGTGGTTAGTAGAACACCAGCTATTATGCCAATAGAAGAATGCATTTTCCTCCCGGGTGTTGCGCCCAACGCCAAAGCATGTTGATCGTTTAGAAACTGGTGGGGGGGCCTTCATCTAGCGAATATATACGAGCATTGGGTTAGCTGGCTGTTTCCTGTTACTGGCTCCGACAACACAACCATCCAGCTTCCCATCCATGATGTGTGATGCAAATGAGGAGCAAGTTAGTACACTACATACGAATCGCATCGGTGATCGACGGGGTCTTTCCCGGATGGCAAGGTTTCCTTGTTCTCGGTCCATGCAAAACTCAAGAGCTGGTGCGCTTTTCTTCCCAAAATCCTGCATTATCCCTAACTAACTACTCGTCGTCTCTGTAACTATCAAGCCACGAGGGCATCTCCTCACTCGTTCGCCGTAGTTTATATATGTGGGTTCCTATATGCACCACGATCACTGTGGCCCAAACCGCCCTACTTTGTCACTTGCCAGTATTCGATATTCATCACTTAGCAAAATGCGTAAACAGTCTTTGGCCGGTGGTGATCGGTCTGAGATCATAAAGTCCGCTGCAAGTTGGTGCTGGGCTAGCTCTTTTTATGTTAGGCGCCGATCGTTTGAAGCACTACCCATCCAATAACTAGTCATCGCATAACTAATAATTTATTGGATAATTGCTAGGAACCTCACAAAACAAACAATAATTGGCTTGATTTCTCCTGGAATCTACAGTCGGATTGATCCTTCTTATAGGGTCAAATCCTACTACTCATCTAACCGAATTCGAATGAGCATTTTAACCGTATAAGCGAATAAAAAGCTCTCGTCCTCGTAAGCAGGGAAAAGAAATCACTCGTGCGTTCAAAAATCTCGCACGGTAATCCCGTGAGACCCACAGAATTTCTTCCCCGCAAATGTCCACGCAGGCAGTTATCAGCGGATTCTGCTCGACAACGATGACCTCCGCTTACGGCGATATTGCTAACTCTCACCATTCAAGTAACTATCGGCGAATACCCGGGTTCCTACTTTGGTTGGCTTTTCAAAGAGACAATCTAACGTTAGTGAATTTCCTCTGTCCTTTGCCAAGAAGAATATCGTCAATGGGGTAGAAAACGGACAATATCAACCATTCCGCCAGCCATTGAAGACCAAAGTAGATACAGCCACACTTCGATTCCCGCCGCATCCTTAGTAAGACCAAGCTGGAGGCTAAGTCGTTCATGATAGAGGCGATCAACTACTGTCAAAGTCATCTTTAGTCAAACACTCCGAAAACGATGGCGAACTTGTCCGGATATCAATACCAAACATAAGTTTTTCCGTAGATGAAGCCCATCCCGGCAAATCATCCTGCGAGCGAAAAGCCAAACATGGTGCCGATGTGGTTATTATTTGAAGCAATGGGCTTATTGTATATAAGACCAAAAAAAGCAATACTGTTCATACTGGGACCTCCCGTTTTCTAAGTATTTCACATTGTGTCCACTACCCTGTCTTTCGTTCCCTTTTGCGTTCCATATCTGCGTCGCGCTACCACGGCTTCTACAAGGGTATACATGAGCTGTCTCAGGTATCATTAACGAAGCTCCAATTAAATCATGCAATCGATTAAGGTGGCTTGCTCTAGATCACGACAAAGCAAAGCCCATGAAGCCGCAATCATAATCAACATTTGTTAAACTGGTCCTATGGCAGAAAAAGAATTGCGAACAAAACCACTAGGTAGACTAGTATTCGATGCGACAGTGCTCGAGCCCAAACTCTTCAAATCCCCGGTCCCCACCCAATGTGCTTTCAAGATCTCGCAGCAATCTGCTACGAGGATTCACGCATTCCGTCTGTACCAGGGCCGCTTCCTGATTCCGTCGCTTCCCACCCATTTTCATTGCCACCCACGCGGGCATCTCCCTCTGGCCTCAAGAGATAGTTGACAGCGGTCCATAATATTTTCTCACGAAGCAGGTGCCGGAGGAATAGCGTTCCTCCTTTGACCACCGTAGAGGCATCGGCCCCCTCGTCTAAAAGACACTTTGTCATTCTTGGATCTTGATTTTCGATGGCGGTGTGTAGAACCGATCTTCCCTGGTTGTCCTTGGTGGTAATCTTGGCACCGTTATCCAGTAGGTGCTGCACGGCTTTCACGTTGCCAACCATAACAGCGAAATGCAGGGGAGTTGATCCCCCATTGCAGCGAGATTCGATGTCCATTCCCATGCCGAGTAATAGATTTATGAGTTTGCTGCTTCCCCTGTGTGATACGGCAAGATGGAGTGCGTTGCAGCCGGTTCTCGGGGTCCTGGCATCCATATCGGGGTTATAATACAGAAGTGCCTGCAAGGCTCGGTAATACCCCGTTGGGAGTGGAGCAGGTATGTTTGCCAATGTATGGAGAGCAGTCCAGCCTGTGCCATCTCGAGCGTCCACGTCAGCGCCATTGTCAATCAAAAGGCGAATGGCACGATCATTTAGGTGCTCTGCCGCGAGACACAAAGGAGTTGTGCCTAAGGAGTCCCTCGCGTTGACGTCAAGGCCCTCCTTGATCAGGTATCTGAGGATTTTGGTTCTAGGCCCTTTAACCGCTTCGTGCAGGAGGGTTTGTTTATCAGGAGATGTCGCGTGGACATCGGCCCCATGTTTCATCAGGAGCCAGAAATTGCATTCCTGGCTGGCGCAGACAATATCAAACAGGAAGTTATCGCTAGTCCACTTGCTTTTGAGGTCAGCACCATTTTCAACGGATAGGCGGATTATTGCATCGCGGGTAAGCAGGTCCGGGTTGTTTGAGAACGTAATTGAATTTATCGACGAGGTTGGATGGTAAAATTCGTACAGATCATCGTCCGGGCCTTGCCTTTTCCAGTGAGTAGTAGCAGGATCTGGTCTCAGAGCGAAATTCAACGCCAGGTGCTCAGCAGAGAAAACATCCTGACGGTAAAGATATGGGTTGAGAAGACGGTAAAAGCGTTTATTTGTTTGGGCAACAGCATTAATTTCCGTCACGGCCAGCAAATCTGCCACCTGAAGGATAATCTCGTTCGGAAGACTCCCAAGATACATGTTTATGTTTTTTTTTTTTTTAAAAAAAAATCCTCACGTATGGGGAGTTACCCTGAAGTGGCAAGCTAATATATAGACCGGTGGACTGGAGGAGGACTCGCTTCGATGCCGATGAACCCTGAGCTTTGAACCCGCCAAATATTTGAGGTTGTCGCAGATCTCAACCCGACTGCCAGGAAGGAACACAACGTTGCAATCAAAAGCTCAGGCTAAAACGGCATCAAACCCAAACTGGATTAGTGCGATGACCAACTGGCATGAATGGGCTTGGGGACTCTGGCGCTTGGCAAATCACGAGACTTTTTACACGTCAATGCCCGAAGCTTTAACTAAAGGTTTGAGCCATCAATAGCGAGCCAAGAGCCTGAAATTTAGTGAAGCAAGCCCGCCATAGTCGTCGTCGGCCTTTATGGCACCTGGGCGAGTCAAATCAACCTTTTAAGTCAATGAACTCACTCCCCTCCAGGTGGTAGGCATTTTCTGTGGAGATGCTGGGTAAACACTGCTTTTTCATGATCACGGATATTGTCATAACATGTTTATAGCTGATGATTCCTTTGAACAAATTTTCATCATTTGCTGAGGATTCATTCAACATCACCAGCACTGCTTCCGTTATTTACACATTCTGAATAGCGGATAATGCTTCCATTCCTCGAATCAATCCACGTATTGTATTTCCGGGGACCGGATTGTATGCTGTCCAGCGGGAAAATGTATGGTGACAGATCTAATTTGGGTATATCAAGTGCGGGGAACGGCATTGGAGGAAGGAAATCTTTGAACGACAATGCGCTGCCACAATGCACCGCCGATGAAATTTCAATAAATAAATATGCCCAGATTCCAAATCCGACCTGCGGCAGCATGGTTCTTAAGGATATCATGTCGCAACCGCTGGTGGTCGGTTAGAAGTTGCCTGTCGAACAGCTGCCCGTGACTCGGGCCATAGCCGTGGCTGTCTCCACTCCCACACGTTCCGAGGCAATGCTAACATCGCACTCTCGCGGGGAAACTCATAGACCAGCTATTGAATCTCATTGTAATACCCCAAACTGTGCCGTGGAGGAGGTCTTTCCCTCTGCCGCGGGATGATAGGAAAATGTGGATCAACAACCGAACTACCTCCCTTCTCGCGGGGAATCAGATGGAGCTAATTTGCCCATGAAATTTATCATGCGTTGGCTGCATTTGATCGTGACGTTTTGGATCAGATATTTTTTTTTTTTTTTTAATTTTTTAATTTTTCCTTGCTTTCTTTAAAATCTTCTTACCTATATACATCAAGCGGCGAGATTGGTTTCTGTTAAAAATGTCGGAAATCCGTGGTTTCGATTCCTTCTTTCGCCTTGACGGCAAGATCGCTCTCGTTACGGGAGGTGAGTTAAAACTCTATTCAATTCAATTCTGCTCTACTTGTATGCTCGTCGTTTTACTGATTATGTTTTTTAAGGGTCGAGAGGAATCGGACTCCACACAGCTACCGCACTTCTTTTGGCGGGTGCAAAGAAAGTCATCATCACTGCTAGGAAATCCGGCGGGGAACAAGGCATTGACCAGGCGGTGGAAAAACTAAATCGACTCCCAGGTATCACTGGACATGCGGTTGGGATCCAGGCCAATGTGGCGAACACAGAAGAAATTGAAAAACTAGCTAATGAGGTCAGAAAAAGCGATGGAAAGCTTGATATTCTGGTTGCAAATGCTGGCGCTACGTGGGGAGGTCCCTTTGAGCCAACTCCAGATTGGAGTTCGCAGAAGATCCTCGATCTCAACGTCAGAGGTGTTTTCAATCTAGCTAGATTGTAAGCAAGGGTTTTTCTGACATACAGCACTGCCTTCCGGAATAAGCTGACTTGCGAGCAGATTTGCTCCTCTGCTGGAAGCCGCCGGTACACCTCGAGATCCGTCGAGAGTGATCATTGTCAGTTCCGTCGCGGGTACAAATGTCCCCCATGTCGGTGAAAACGGCACGATCATGTATTCGGTCTCCAAGGCTGCAGCAAACCACTTGGCAAGGAATCTCGCCCTTGAGTTGGGACCCCGGAACATCACAACAAATACCGTTTCTCCTGGCTTTTTCCCATCAAAGCTTGCAAACGGGCTGATCGAAAATCTCGGGGGAGTAGAGAAGCTGAGTTCAAATGTTCCTCGTGGAAGATTGGGGGAACCGGAGGATATCGCCGGAGTCATGATATATCTCTGCTCCCCAGCAGGGAACTATATGTAAGTCTCTCCTCCACTTTTCTGATTAGCCAATGATGGTTTGAACGCAGCTGATTTATGAAAAGTAACGGTGTTGTTATTGCTGTAGATGGGGGGAAAAGGCTGGGGAATATCGCAGAAAGGCTCTAGGCTGTGTTATGTGAAGGATAGATTGCTTGATTGATTATGTAGCGATCGCTAGCTACGCGGAAGTTATATACGGTGCGGATTACATAAGAAGGCGGATAGGCCTGACATGTTACCATTGTTGTTGCTTAACTTACCCACATGAAGATAACTGAATCCCGATAAACTTCTACACAATTTTTTTTTTTTTTTTAAATAATTATATATTCCCATTCCATGTTGATTAAGTGTGTGTATCATGCAAAATACATACATACATACATACATACATACACACACACACATTTGTCATGTGTCAGGTGCCATAAAAGGATGCCCAATTCTGACCCATTCTGGGGGGGAAACTTCGTCGTTCACATCACCGATAGCGCCGTTAGCAAAGTCGAGAGTTGGCCGTAGAGATGTCATTTGGATCTTCACCGAGTCTGAGATGCATATGAAGGAAAGCTTCTGTATCGATAATGAATGAAAAGCGACTTTGATACCCCGAGACGGTGCATGGGCTTTTGTTGTGAAATGGCGATTCAACATATATCTAGCAATCCACATGCCGCAATGCATCCTGAATGGGTTGGTTCACGTGATGTTCCATTCTCAAGGGGGCATACTATTGCCTCACTGTGGCCTATTGCCTATTGCCCTATTGCATATTGCCTATTATTAGTATTAATAGTCCACACAGGTTTCAGATGGTTTGGAGGGCCACAAACTGGTTGTTTGCAAGACGCTGCTTCTAAAGGCAACAACACGACTGGGGGAAGTATTTGCGAGGGGCAGCTGCATAACTTTTATTGTGTGTTTCGAGTGTATCAACATTATGCATATAGTTATGAATAAGTAATGAAGAGTTCAGAGAATTGCTCTAATCCAAGAGCCGGGGCTGACTCCCGTGCCGAGTTATGTCGATGCAGCACCCATGGATGCCAGCCATGATATGATACGGCTGGCGTTGGACTCCCGAAGACACGATTATTCATCGGTAGTCCAATTCTGCTACCAACAATAAACTGCCCGGTGGGCCACTGATTTCCCTCAGAAGGATGGCAGCAGACCCGTCATGACTTCTGAGGATCAACCCCCAGACCAGAAAAAGTACTATGGAAGACATCAGGGGACACCAACAAGCAGACCTAATAAAAACACGGAAAAGGTTTCGACCTGTTCCCATAGTTAGTTAACAGATGATTACTAATAGTTAGTTAACTTAAGTTTTTCAGTGGGGCATTGGATCTGTGAATATTTGTGAACATTGCTTGTGCATGCATAACTAACGAACTAGTTATGAACTAACCCAGACATCAAACGTTTGTTTCCCAACTTCTCGCGCAGAGCCTGCTCAGGAGATGTCAACCTTTTTGCCTTGACGCTTTGGTTGCTCATCACTGGATATGCTCCAACAGTCTTATCTTCCTCGTTCTGGGGATGGAGGAGCAACGGTGGACTCGTCCAGATGGACCCGATCAGACGTTCTCTTTAAGGCTCCAACCCATTAAAAACGAGAACCAGTGAAATGATAGCAGAGGGGTGTTGCTTTCATTCTGTGGTGCGGTCCCTCCCCCCCAAAGGTCTGGTTATTTCCTTGATTCTCCTCCCAGTCACACAACTGATGAGATTTTGTATCAGACTTCAGCAACCAACCCAGTTGTGCTGGATTTGCAAAACCGTGAAATCCCTTAGGGTCAAGAGGAGATCGACCCAACATGGCGAGAACAGTGTGCATAATTAATGTCCACACCGGTTTCACAATATTCTGCCACTGGAAGAAGCCTGCAACCGCTGTTAGATCCTTGAAGCCAAGGCCACCCTCCCTGCTTGGAGATACGGCGGTCGATGCTGCAATGCCCAAGTTATGATTTATGAAGATGGGTCATACGAAAAGAAATGCCGAACAAGTACTCTGTGGTGGACCTCAAACCTGCTAGACCCACAGCCTGGTGGGGCGCGGTGTCTGCACTTGGTAATTGCCATCCCGGATTCAAGTCACCGGCGTGCTTCTTTTTCACAAAGGATTTGGCAGGGAATGGCAAGGATAAGCTTCTGTCAAGCAATTTCTTCAGCAGTTCCATGGTCCGCTTTTCTTTTTTAAACTGAAAGATATTTAATAATACCTGTGATCACCCCTTGAATGACCACGTTCATTCCTTGATATCCCCAGCAAGTTTTCTTACCCGATACATATTATCAGCCTTTGACACCTCCTTAGTCCGCCATTCAAAGCTGCTTGTTTGAATATCTTTCTGCTCTCAGGGAACTTTTCCATTGATGCCTCGTTTCCTTTTAGACCATCGATCAGGTTTGAGCAAGCTGTCGTCCCCTGCGGGAGATTTGGCCATTCCGGTGTTCTTATTTTGCTAATTACCACAAACACGGAACCTCTACTCTCCCTCTCTACACATCAAACCTGATGTGATTTATTTTATTTTTATTTTATTTTATTTTATTTTTTTTTTTTTGGTGGTTAAATTTTGCCCTCCTATTTTCCCCAAACGCCTTACTCCACCCCTGAATCTCCGCATTCGTTTCCGTTAGAAGAATGGGAGCGAAACAGTGTTCAATCACGCTTCAATTTTGACACATTTGTCGAAGGTCTGAAGAGAAACTCGGGAGACGCAATAGTTGACATTGATTATTCCACCTGGTTTCTGTCATCGGTCCAAATTGGGGGCCAGTGACAGTACGTATCTAACAAATGCCTGCAGAATGATAACCACATTTGATACTAATACACCCTCCTAGAGTTTTCAACAATGGTTAAACCCGTGTCTGACGGTGATGATTGTGATACAAGATCTGTTGACCAGACTTTACGACCATACTTTCCAGCGGATACACATAAAGGCCTGGTCGATATAGAGAAAAGGCCTTGCCTACCGTCTGAGGATGTAGGCTGCACTCCGGTCTGCGACACGTCAGAATCAGATGGGGAGGTTTCAGATTTGAACAAAGTCGACTGGGATGGACCGGATGATCCCATGAATCCGTACAATTGGCCCATGACCAAGAAAACTTCCAACGTTCTAAACATAACATTGATTACCTTCCTAACGTATGTCGATTGCATGTCAAGCTGGAATCGCTTTCATTGGTTCTATTTTAAAAAATCCACTTCTCACGGCTAACGCACTATGGCTAGACCCCTTGGATCCTCCATGTTCGCCCCTGGCATTATGGACGTCATGCGCGAGTTCAAAAGTTCAAATCCAGAACTCGCGTCGTTTGTTGTGTCTGTTTATCTAGTGGGATATGCATTTGGCCCACTGATTATCGCTCCACTTTCAGAATTATATGGACGAATGTATCTCTACCATTCCTGCAATGTGCTTTTTGTCATCTTCAACATCGCTTGTGCTCTGGCACCCGACCTTGGCTCACTTATTGGCTTTCGTTTCTTGGCCGGCGCAGCCGGCAGTTGCCCTTTGACAATCGGAGCGGCCTCATTAGCAGATATGATTACGCAAAAAAAGAGAGGAGCCGCTATGGGCGCGTGGGCTATTGGACCACTCATCGGTCCAGTCGTCGGCCCTATTGCAGGGGGATACTTAACTGAAGCGATGGGGTGGCGGTGGACGTTTTGGATTCTTGCTATAGCGGTTAGTAAATTTGTCGCCTCTGCTAGCGACCTAAGGGGTTATCAGCCGTTGCTAACTAATCCTCCCTCCTGTCTTCAGTCCGGTGCTGTCACCCTTAATACTTTTATTTTTATGACTGAGTCGTGTCACTCTATCCTTTTGGAACGGAAAACGAAGCGCCTTATCAAAGAAACTGGCAACTTAAACCTGAAATCCGTTCTTGACACGGGTAAAACCACCAAAGAACTCTTTCTTTTCTCTATTGTCAGGCCGACAAAAATGCTCTTTATGTCCCCGATTGTATTTCTGATATCGCTCTTCACGGCTGTGATTTACGGCTACATTTATCTTCTTTTCACCACCTTCACAAGCGTTTTCGAGAGGCAATATCACTTTTCCAAAGGTATGTACATATTCTTGCGGTCTCCAGTCAAGAGCTGTGATTTCCGATAGAAAACTTCCCGTGTATTCACTTGAATAACCCCTGTGCTTATTAGGAAGTACTGGACTCGCATTTCTCGGCATTGGTGTGGGATCAATGCTAGGTCTTGTTGTCATTGGAACAACATCAGATCGTATTCTCCAAATCCTAGCAAAGAAGAACAATGGCGAGCTAAAACCTGAATACCGAATCCCGCTAATGATTCCCGGGGGCCTTTGCATTCCGATCGGGCTATTCTGGTATGGGTGGACAGCGGAGAAAGGTGTGCATTATGTTGTACCCATCGTTGGCACCGGGTTCGTGGGTGTGGGGATGATTTTAATATTTGTAAGTATTGCCCTTCTTGGCTTGCCCACAGCCCATTTTTACTATTCCTAACACTTAAAAAACAATCGTCAAAGTTCTGTTCTAACCAAGCTGCCTACCACTTCGTAGATGACTGGATCAACCTACCTCGTCGACGCATTTACCCAGCACTCTGCCAGTGCCATAGCTGCTAACACCGTCCTCCGTTCCCTTGGCGGTGCTGTTCTCCCACTCTGTGGCTTGAAGATGTACCGCGCCCTGGGCCTTGGATGGGGGAATTCTTTGCTGGGATTCATTGCGCTTGCAATGGTACCGATTCCCTGGTTCTTCTACCAATACGGAGAGAGGGTGAGAACGAGCAAGAGATTCCGTGTTACCTTTTAGACACGATTGTCTAATTGGGATTACAAAATCTCATTTTCTTTCTGTTTTCCTTTTCTGGATATCTTTCCCTGATTATCTTTTTCCACTCATAAGTTGTGGTATCTTGCATCACTTTGCATATCCCGGCGTTGGATTTTTTATTTTCTTTAGATTGATATGTAAAGAGAGACTTATCTTTATCCTCTATAGTTTCGTGTTGATTGGGAGGAAGATTGGATGTTGTTGAATAAAGCTTAAATTAAGCCTCCTCCCGTCCACGGAACCGATCAATGCAAGCAACCTTATCTGAAAGTTTGACGTCACATCACGAAGGGTAGCTTGCGGCTAGCTTTGTGGGTTATAGGACATTGTTAGCCTCCAGTTTCTGTAGAATTTATATTTATGTCAGACTAGAAGCTTGCATTTGCGCAGTTCTCCAAATCAACAAGCCATGTAGAACAGCCACCTGCTCCAATTAGTAACCTGAGAGCAACTGTGATATTTTGTTGCCAAATCCACTCATCATTGAAATAAGCTAATTTTTATTATCCTTCTTTTTAACATATATGATGAGTGTCCCGAAAATATCCTCGTGTTCCCCTAGGCCTCCTATGCCACTTTGATTATGTTCTCCATAGGGTTTGATAACTAAAGAGTTACATTTCATTAGTCATATTCAAATATTCAACAACTAATCATAGAGAGATTTATTGAGGGTTGAGCTGTATATGGCAGCTTCAGATCGATACCTCAAGTAGAGGGTTTTAAGATCTCATTCAAGATATTGCCAGAACAGACATCTCTTCACAATCTTGTGATTCTCAGCTCTGGCAAATTTAACTCAATCTATGATCTGTGACCATGCTTGATAAAAATAGCATTACAAAAAGAAAAAGAAAAAGAAAAAGAAAGCTGATGGTATTGAGATTAATACTCCACCCCACATCCATTCCCCAGCAGCTAAATGGCATTGTGTGCGTTGTGAGCAGCCAACAGCGGGAAAGCCGAAGTTTCTGGTTTCTTGGTATCTTGGCTTCTTGGCGGGGCGGAGCGGAGATTATATAAGGATCAACCACGGAGCTAAACCTAAACAGGCAATCTGGTCAGATCACAACCCATTTGTGTAGTTTGTAGTTCTCGAACTTGTTGTCGCAGCGGCTTCCAAAGAATAGCTTGGGCAATAAATAGCAGGGATCCCCAAGAGTGATTCTTTATCTGGCGAACCATCTCCATTCGACACATTTCCTCTGCTTTGGATGTGAGCCATTCCGTCGCGTCCGTCCAGGTCGATTGGGTGGGTAGTCGCTCGGCCCCAACTCCCCTCCCCCACATCCTGACCACCCTAGAACATGGCCCGACCGACCTCGCGATTATTTATTGTTATTGGTCTTGGCCTTTTCTTTATCCTCACGCTCACATTCCTCCGGCAAAGCTCCCCATTGTCTCCCGCCACCCGCGCCCCAGGCCATTTCGATAGAACAATCCCGAATGTAGAGATTACGGATAAGATGTTGCAGGGGCCTGTTGTGATGGAGAAGATGGGAAATGAGACTGCAAAGTGAGCAAAATTTGTGCTTAGTCTATGAATGCTGCTTTTCGATTGGGAGTTGTGGCTGCTATTCAAAGTTTAATCAACGAATGCCTTTCGATCCAACTGTCCTGCCCATGCGTTGAGAGATGCGGAGTAGGGGGGATAACTGGTGTGAAAATGGCGGTGTACACAGTATTATTAGCTAACACAAAAACGTATTCTTAGGGCGGAGCTGGGCCGTGCAGCCTGGAAAGTGTTTCATACCATGATGGCTCAATTTCCAGACAAGCCTTCAAGCGAACAGCAGGAAACGCTACGATCATATATATTTTTGTTTTCAAGATTGTATCCCTGGTATGTTCTTAGCGGCTCTTGCGTGCAAACACCAGCAATGAATGAATGGGCATCTGCTAACTACTTCATTCGTTGTCGATAACAGTGGCGAATGCGCGTCTCATTTCCAAACCCATTTGGCGAAATTCCCACCGCAGGTGTCTTCGCGCTCCTCTGCTGCTGCCTGGGCATGTCATGTCCATAATGAAGTGAACAAAATGCTACACAAAGATATCTTCGACTGTAGCAAGATCGGGGATTTCTACGACTGTGGTTGTGCGCATGACGACGAGGACGACAACAAAGGGGGGAAGGACAGAGAAGGGAAACAAAAGGGGCTCAAAAACACTGCAGCTAGTGCTGGTGGCTCTGTTTCCGGCAAAGAGATGGAAAGCAGTTCGAAGAAGATATTGTCGCAGAACGAGAGGGAAAGTAGGATTGGTAGTTCTTTCACACCAGTAAAAATTAATATAGAACCGTAAGTGATGCCCCTGGTTCCTCCATGCCCACGTTGTGGTCGTACAATCGCAACTTCGAAAGCCTTCCGTTAGTGCTTGTTCGCTAATGCTAATATATTTAGGCCAACAAACGGTTAATTACAAGATAAATTTTATTTTTGATGCTACCTACTGTACACGACCAACCAGGCTTTTATATCCAAGTCGAGATTATGATGAAAATATGCATGAGGCTTTTTTTTGAAGCTAGCTGGCATTGTGCTTTGACATTTTGTTGTTGCACATCTGCATTCTATCTCTGTGGCTTTGTTTCTGTTCAACATTCCTTTGTACAATAGTGAGAGCACCTCTCTTGAAATGACAGGCTAAAATCAAAAACCCCACACACAAAAATGTTAACTATACAATTGTTATCGAATATATATATTAATAAAATATATGCTAAAACCTATAATTATACGAAAAGGATAGTGGATAATTCCATTCTTAATATTTGCACAATTTGTGTGTGGAATAAAACAACATTCTCATTGCAGGCCTGAGTAAAATGTAAACTTTAGGAGTTACAAGCACATATTTAGGTGTAGCACCGTTCATTAAAACTAAATCATCAAAGGGTATCTCACAAAGCCCCGTCCAAAACAACTTGTTCTGCATAGCCCTTATTGAGCAGGTCCAAGAATAGAGAGCCGCGATCTTCATCACACTCCGGAGGCTCCCAGCAAAAGTTTAGAGCCTCCAAAGATCGTTTCGCAAACACCGCTGCTCCCCTAGCCACAATGAATTCGTAGTCAATGGAAGCAGGGCGAAGAGCGCCTTCGTCCTTTTCCAACGTCCACCTCAAATTATCTACATCGCCATTGTGGCTTGATAACATTTCCTGTAAAGCCTCTTTGAGCGTCTTTTGGAATTCAGGATTTGACGCATGCTCGCCAACAACCAACAGGGTCGATGGTAACTCCTCGCATTCCAAACCCACCTGCACAATGGTATCACGAAGACGTTTCCAATAGTTCCTTTGCATATTCTCGCCAGTGTCCACGGGAAAACTACCCCAGCCCAGGTCAAAATGGACCTGTTTCGACGTCCAATGGATGTAAAATGCATTGCTGGAATATGTATTTACTGCCGTGAATGACGCATCCGTGAAACTTAAAAAGAGCTTTTGGCTCCACGGCAGCGAATTCTCTTCGTCCAGGCAATCGTGTACATCCGTGAAGTTGCCACAGATGCCGTAGCCCATTGCGGCGCCAGCGGCAGATACCTCTGATACGTAATCCTGGCCGTATGGGGAGTCGATGTGCGAAAGGCCCGCGTACTCAACTGCGTCATGGAAATCTTCAAGCGTCAGGCCTGGAAGCACTGGGAAGAATGCAAAAAGCACACGAGTACAAAAACCATCACCAAGTTTGTCGTCGACTGCGAGACGGAGGGTTTTAAAAAGGGATCCCAGTGTTCCAACGTCATATGTAGCTGGGAGGCCCCGGCTTTTATTCAGCTTCCTTTGCACTCTTAGCCTCCAGCAGAGAAATTTCTCCCAGAGGTTATTGGGCATAGAACTGCTGAAGAATCAGATCTTTCACAAATTTTTTATAAGATAAGGCATTGAGACTGACCAGTCTGGTGAAGGAGGGCCCGCTTCAAGCTTTCTGATGAGTGCTTGGTAATGTTCATCTCCATCTACCTACACATCATATCAGCGTTTTGCAGCTAGTCTTTGCTCGTTTCGCCTCGTCCCATGATGCATGACCGTATATCCATCGAGAGACACATAGATTCGCAGAAATCACTGACACGCCTACCTTCGCCAAATTCTCCGTAGAGCCATTGAAATACCGGATTGCAGCTGTCCCGTATGAATCAGCAATATCGAATCCGATTCCAGGGGCCAAAATATCCTCCCGAGAAACACATTTTTCGCAAATGGGAAGTCCCTCCGGGTTTCGGTCTTCTGCTTGGGCCCACGTACATGAATCCGCATTGCCAACTATAGCCAATGCTAAAAGAAAGAAGGAAGACCCATATGTGATAAACATTATTCTAGCATGCAGTTATTAGGCAGTTATTGAACGTATTGGTCTAACTTGGCCCTCTTGAAGTACAGACTTTCATCTGTTCGTGGAATCAGCATATATATAAAGATGGCCAGAGGAGCTGCCTAATCTCAAATTGACGCCTAGGCGCGCGAAAATGTTTAACCCCGCTGGGTTTCAAGGGCATCTCCATGCCCATCGCCCGATTAAAAATAGCTCAACTATGTGTGACTAGTAAGGTAAGCCCATGTAAGATGGGAGGACACGGTGTAGAATCAACCATGATAAATGGTCACCTAAGAATATATGAGAATGCTTGATGAACAGAACGAGACCTCGGGATGGTACGATGAATCCTTTCTTTTGCGGACTGGTTACCCACTTATTTTAATATCGATTCCGTGGAGAAACCAACCAGAAGCAAGTTCAAACATCCATTCATTATGTGGACACATAAATGTGAAGTGCAGCAATTCCTGGATGGAGTAACTAACTATCGTGCATAGTTAACGCCGAAAACCCTGTCGCTTGTACCAACCCTTTATATAAATTAAAAGTACAAATTCCCGCATCAGATAAATTACGATGGACGAGCTCTTATTAAGACAGGTAAACTAGTTGACTAGTTAACTAAAATATTTAACGTAACTAATCCACAACCAGTCGGCCATCAAATCTCACACCCTGCAATTCTTCAATTAAGCCACTTCAAACCGCAAGAATGCCACCAATTCGCACTAAAAATACAAAACCTCTGTAGAAATAGAGGACAGACTTGAGCTTGCAAGTATTGCTCTTAAAAATCAAGAAATAGCTTCAATTCATGAGGCTGCTCACTTAAAAAAGATATCTCACTCTATAAAACTGGCTTAATGGCAAGCCTTCAAGGACAAATTTACATGCAAATTTCATTAACGAACCCAGACTGAACAGATAGACTTGTTGAATGAGTGCTGGGCCTAGATAAACAAGCAATACCTTCACGATCAGCATTTATGAAGAGAATAACTAGTTATCTTCCTGTCAACTATTTCCAATCTTCAACCCTTAACATCTAGTTTCTGGCGGCCGACTCGATTGTGGATTACGTTATGTTGCTCTGATTAAACTACGTATTCCTATATAATATAATCATGTCTTTCAATTCTATATGCGTAATATGCGAAATGGGTATTATGGTATAAAAACGGAGAAACCTCGAGATATCCATACACCAGACCCGGAGCTCATACAACAATCCCCCCCGAGTTCTTCTGTCTCGGTTCTCCAACAGCTTCAAAGGTACTATTTCCCAACACCTGGATGCACTGCACTGAACTGAACCCCGGCGCCACCCGCGTCACATTATGACCTCTCTCCGCCATAAATTCCACAGTGCTGTTATCAAACGCCCACTCAAACAACGTCAAATTCGGCACCAGCTGGTCATGCAGACGGGGTTCTTCGAGCGCCCTAGACGCATTCAATTTTCTATCAATGACATTGATCACACTCTGCACTGTGGCGGTGATGATGCGTGAGCCGCCCGCTGCACCTGTCACAAAGAATAGGCTACCGTCTGGATGCGTGACGATGATGGGGCACATGGAGGAGAGCATGCGTTTTCCTGGCCGGATGAAGTTGGCCGGTGTTGGGATGTAGCCGAATTTGTTACTGGTGTCTGGAATGGAGAAGTCATTCATCTCATTGTTCATGACTATGCCGGTTTCGGGGACCATGAGTTTGCTGCCGAATATTAAGTTTATAGTTGTGGTGAGGCTAACGGCGAGCCCTGTCCTGTCGGTTGAGACAAGATGGGAGGTCCCGGGCCTACGGTATGGGTGTTAGCACTTCCCCTTTGAAAGAAAATTATGATTTCGTCTAGCGATGGTCGCTGTGGTTCGTCAAATACTAGGAAAGGAGAGGTTGGGGATGGAATCGTACGTTTCTAAAATTTGGTGTCCCGCTGGATCATATGCAGACACATTCTGGGTGTTTTCATCGAAGATTTTGGCTCGAATCTGAGCAGCCGTGGAGACCCTTAGCATGTCCTCCTCGTATTCTGTGACGTTATCTACGAAGGACGGATCACCCAGGTACGTCCGCTGAGATGGTAAGAGGGATCATCCCCGTCAGCACCCAAAACCTGTCATTTCATTTTTAACAAAGGGCTGGGAACTCTCACTTGTCCGTAGGCAAAACGATACGCCTCAGTCATTCGATGTGTACTGAGATTTACAGTTCCTGGTGAAAAGAAACGATCGTACTGATTCAGAATGTTCAAAATACTCAGCCCAACGGAACCTCCTGACGGAGCACTCGCACCGGTAACCCTATAACCCCGATACATGATCTGTGAAACATTTCGAATCGTCACCGTATAATTCTTCAAGTCGCCCAGAGTCATAGTTCCATTTGAAGCCTGAAGGGCTTGAATCGTGGCCTCAGCAATGGGACCGGAATAAAAGGCATCGGGGCCATGATTAGCGATTTGTTCGAGAGTACGAGCATATCTTCTACGGGTGATGATGTCTCCCAGCCCCAGTCGTGTTCCATTGGGTGCAAAGTCAATGGCCCATGATGGATCTTTGGACAAAAAATCTTCATCCTTTGTCTCGGATTCCATCATACGGGCCAGATCCTCATTGACCCGCCACCCATCCCGCGCAGTGCGAATGGCAGGCTGCATGACCTTTGGCCACGGCAGGGAGCCATATTTCTTATGCAGATATTCCAACCCACGAACCTCACCTGGAACGCCGCTGCAGACGATATGAAAGAAAGGATTTGCAATTGGTTAGTATAAACTTAAGTTTTACTAGGTGAGAAAGAAAATTATGTACCTAGCCAACCCACCAGTTATGGATGCCTGTTCATTATCTTTATACATATCCTCAAATGCAGCGGCAGGTGCTGTCTCTCTGAAATCAACGAACTCATATCTATTTTCTGGCGTGCGAACAACAGCAAATCCACCACCCCCAATATTGGAATGATACATTGCTAGGATAACGATGATGCGATTAGCAAGGGAACACACCTGACACAAAAATGATGTAGGATGTTGATGGTGGCTCACCAGTTACCCCTATGCAGAAGACAGTTGCAACCATCTGGTCGTTTGAATTAGGGCATGGTGTTAGCATTTCAAAGAGCATAGAAAGCCAATTCTTCTCTCGATTGCTCTTGATTGCTCTTGATTATGCATGTGGAGATACAAACCAACGCTTTAAATTGATACAAAACAAACAATGCATAGTGATAATTTTGCAACAACAATGAAAAAGGGCTCAATTACTCACCAAAAAAAAGGAAAAAATGATATGGAAAGACTCACAGCATCAACAGCATTTCCTCCCTCCTTCAACATCCCCACGCCCAGCCCGCTGCAATATCCGTTCTCAGATGCAACGGCACCCAAACTGCGACCAGGAACGTCTTCATTGCCGGGCGTACCATCGAAACCAGTTTTCGCCTGTCCCTGACCTGAACTGACACTCCACGCTACCCTGAATGTCGCAATGGACGAGAAAAGATAAAACGCCGTTAGCAGCATCATGGCCGCGAAAGAGACAGTTGCAAGTAAACCGGTGAGCATCTTGGCCCAAGAAAGGGGGACGAGAGAGAAACTCTCTCCTCACAGCGGGGGGGAAACAGAGTGTGTTAATTTTGAATTTCCCGATGTCGGAATTTGCTCAGCTGAGTAGACTTCCGTTTCACAGAATTTTTTTCGTGAGTTTATTTTATTTTGATTTTGATACGTCCCGACCGGTGTGGTACCAGATTGACCAACTTCCTACCTGGGGACAGAAACTGCGCGGTGCAGTAGCCAGCCGCAGTTGGGGCAACCCAGGGCTCTCTCTTCGGGAGGTATAGATAGACTCTCTGTAATACAACTGCTGCTAGGCGGGTTTTGGGGCTGATTATCGGGAAAAGGGGAAAGGGGGAGAAGGGTAAGGGGGACGTGAGAGGTTGACAGAGTTTGAGTTAAAACTACAAGAATTAGGGTGCTATTTCGTAAACCCAGCTGACAGGACTGGGTTTTCGAGAGGAGTTGTTTGGTGTGGAAGGGTCCAGTCCAGCTGCGGTAGAAGAAAGAAGATGCTGCTGCTGGTGATGATGGTGATGAAAAGACAAAGAGCCTGAACCTAACCAACCAATTTGGAAGTATTTTTAAGAATTTGGGGCTCAAAGAAAGGAACATCACTCCGAAATTCCCTATTTCTGGGGTTTTGGCTACGTTTTCTCTCATCCTCGAATGAGCAAGTGGAGTTCTTCAGAGATCAAACATATGCCCACTACATCCTCGTCTAAAGCATAAAAAGTCTTGGGATGCAACTAACCAACAACCTGGGAGTCAGCTTAAAATCAATCAGCCGCCGAGCACACGCGCCGAATCACACGAGGTTCTCCACAAATTGCTACCTCTTCCGTAGTACGAACCGTATGAATAGTGGGACACAGCAGCTTACCTGGCCTTAAACCGTGCCTAGGCACCTAGGAACTCGTTTACCCAGTGATTCACCCAACCTTGGATTTTAACCGACGCACATTTCCATCCATGCACAATATTTCAACTGGCAAATGCTGCAACTAGTATTCTTAGACAAGTTAGTTAAAAAGTAACTAGGCGATGGAGTCGATATCATGGAATACCAAACTTCATATTTATATAAGACCGTGATGTCAACCCTGCTTGCTACGAACCACAAGCAATGGGCGACACAAAACCTTGAGAACAATTTAGTAACTAACTAACAAGTTAACTGCTCAGAATGCAATGAATATCTTCTGCAATAAAAGTCATTTTGTTCTCGCTGCGAGCAACACGGATTGGGTCCCAGCCGGATAGAGTTTGCCAATCGGGTGGTGAGTTAAGAGCGAGAAGTGGAAATCCACCGGGTCTTGGTCGTTTTATAGGCGAATAAAATCGATTGGATGACACAGCTGATGCATGGAGGGGTAGTTAATAGCCGATCAGGGACTGTTATAGGGTAGTTAATAGTTCAGGTTGAGATGACTAGTTATTGAATGCAGTGGACGAATACAACGATTAGAATCAGAATCCATGGAAGTGGGATGATTATTGGGATTGAAGGCTCTTTGCCGCCTGACTCAAAGGTCGGATGGAAACTCAGCGGGTTCGCCTCCCACTGTACATACGATGAAGAATGACATCGAATCCAGACAGAAGAGAGGCGTAAATACAATAACCAAATATCATCAATCCATCCCCTGGGACGAAATGGTGGAAGAGCCTTGCTTGTAACCCGACAAGAGACTGCCGTCATGACATCCATTGGCGCTGCCCAGCAGGCAGAAGGGAGAGAGATATCCCTCGTATCTCACATCTCCACATCTCTATATCTCATTCCATCCTCATGAGGTAATTGTGTTCAAAATGAAACTGAAAAAGAACAACTGAAGGTTCTGGGTGATTCTTTTATGCTTGTTCTCCGCCCCGCAACTAACTCTGATATGATGACTCATCACACTCCACGCTCTGAGCCCTAATTGGGTTTAGTGTCTCGAGTGCGGCTTCAAAGGCAACTTCTCGCTTTTTTTTGGTATCTTATTTTCGAACTTCAACAACATCTCTCTGCCCTCAACCTGAGCTGTGTCTTAATGCCTATATTTCCTGGGTTCTTACTCTCCATTTTTTGATATTTGCTTTATCAGGCTCTTTTTTCTTTCGATCTCACTGTCTTTCACTGAGAGCTCCTCTGAGCTGCGCCATTCATTCCCTACAAACTAAAAGATACATTTAAACCGATCAGACGGCACACAGACCAAACTGTGCTGCCATTTTTTTTTTTTTTTTTTTTTTTTTTTTTTTTTTTTAAAAAAAAAAAAAAACCTCTCTTGGCTCACTGAAAACTTTCGTATTTGCTCAAATCCACTTTGAGTATCACACGGGAAGATTGGAGAAAAGTGGCGACAGGCTCGAATTTCCCTGCCCCACGAATATCACAGTCAGTTTGTCATTAGTTATGACAACAAGAACAGAAATCTCTCCGCTATCTTCAGCCGTGCAAACTACCCCGGATCAATCCCGTGGTGGGGATCAGAGGTCAAATCCACATAATACGTTCTTAGGACGCCCCTCGCGCCGGGGCAGAGGAGGAAACCGTGGAGGAAGTGGGAATGTGAATACAGCTCGTGATAGATCATTGTTTTATGGGAGAGAAAGAGGAAGAGGTGGGGGACCAAATCGTGGAGGATCTGGAACTGGGACAACTTCAGCAAGAAGCAGGGGTCGAGGTGATGCCGCCATTACTACGAGAACAGTGGCCGGAACGGGGAGGTCCTTTGGTGGCCGATTAACGCGAGAGGAGTCAGAGGGAACTAATAATGCTAGAGGAGACCCCTTTCTTGATCAGGGAGACCAGGCCCCATTACAACACAATGCGCCGGAATTCGTACCCGGAGTCCAAGTTTATCCCCCTTCCTCCAGTCGCCCAGTCAGAACCCTTACATCTGCGTCTTCAGCCGGTTTTCAAAAATCCGTTCCTATTCCTGCCCACACACGATCGGCTACAAAAACGAAATCTACCGCTCACGACATTACCACTCGCACACATGAAGATATCGCCTCTGGGTTGTACGAATGTCCCATCTGCACGAGCGAACTTGGTCGGAAATCGAAGGTGTGGTCATGTACGTTATGCTGGACGGTCTTCCATCTCAGCTGCATCAAGAAATGGTCGAATAATGAGGGCTCGGTAATGTCGAGACCAAGACAGCAGCAAGGACATGAAGACGGGGAGGAGCATCCGCGACAGTGGCGGTGTCCTGGGTGTAATTTGCCTCACGACATTTTGCCACAGAGATATACATGCTGGTGCGAGAAGGAGACGGATCCACGATCTCTACCTGGGTTGCCACCCCATTCGTGCGGACAGACTTGTTCCAAGGCGAGGAAAGGATGTCCACATCCCTGTGATTCTGTGTGCCATGCGGGTCCTTGCCCTCCTTGTATGGCTATGGGGCCAACACAGTTTTGTTTCTGCGGACGCCATGAGTCGAGGAAAAAATGTGTTGATACAGATTACAAGAACGGGTGGAGTTGCCAGGAGCCGTGCGGGGAGTTATTGCCATGTCTTCAACACAAGTGCAATCGACCGTGTCATGAAGGGCTTTGCGGAGCTTGCGAGGAGCTTGTCGATGTCAGATGTTATTGCGGAAAGTCGCAAACACGGATGGTATGCAGTAATTGCGAGGAGGAGAGAAAGAGTAGTCTTGTCCACGGTGAAAACGTATCTGGAGAAAAAATGGAGGAATGGGTAGGCTGCTTTGATTGTGGAGAGATCTGTAGTCGCCCGTTTGACTGTGGACTCCATACTTGCCAGAAGCGGTGCCATCCACAACACCCAAGCATTCCCCATTGTCCCAGTTCTCCTGATGTTGTAACGCGCTGTGGATGTGGGAAGACACCATTGTCACATATTCCTGGCTACAAACCTAGGAAATCTTGTCAAGATCCCATACCAAATTGCAAAGAACCATGTGGAAAACCCCTCCCATGTCAACACCATTGCCCCGTTCTCTGCCACACCGGTCCGTGCCCGCCGTGTTTCTTAAGAGTGTCCATAAACTGTCGATGTGGGAAAAGTTCTTTCCAATCAATATGCCATCAAGGTATAATTGAACCACCTCACTGCTTCCGGATGTGCAAGGCCACAATGAACTGTGGTCGGCACTCCTGCGGTGAGCGGTGCTGCCCCGGTGAGCGCAAGGCAATCGAACGGCAAGCCACGAAACGTAAGCTAAGGTCGATTTCTGTTGGTGTTCATGTTCATGACAGTGATATCGAAGCGGAACATATATGTACCCGAGTTTGTGGCAGGATGCTTAAATGCTCCATACATACGTGCCAGGAACTGTGCCACAAGGGAAGCTGCGGTACTTGTCCAGAGGCAATATTCGATGAAATATCCTGCAACTGCGGCAGATCAGTGCTTTACCCACCATTACCATGTGGCACTCGTCCCCCTCCCTGCCACTACGATTGCGCGAGACCAAAATCATGCGGACATCCTCAGACGTCGCACAACTGTCATACAGATGACGAAAGCTGCCCCAAATGCCCGTTTTTAACGGAAAAAAGCTGCTTGTGTGGGAAGAAGTCACTGAAGAACCAACCTTGTTGGCTAACAGATCCCCGTTGTGGCCTTGTCTGCGGCAAGGAGATCAAGTGCGGCTCCCACACATGCAAGAAACCCTGCCATAGACCGGGGGAGTGTGAGGATGCCCTCGAACCCTGTCGCCAGCCATGCGGTAAGATAAAAAAGCTTTGCTCCCACCCATGTACGGATGCATGTCACGCTCCATTTCCCTGCCAGGAGAAAACCCCATGCCAATCCCTAGTCACAACAACATGCCCTTGCGGTCGTTTGAAGCAAGAGAAGCGCTGCAACGCTTCACGAGACAACAAAAACCGCATCCAACAACATTATCAATCGCCCACGCCACTAAAATGCGACGACGAATGCGCCCGCCTCCAGCGCAACCGCTCCCTTGCCTCCGCCCTAAACATCTCTATAGACCCTCACACAACCACATCTAATGTCATAACCGCCACTGCTGATGGCCAATCCC